TTTTTTTTGCTCATTTGCGTTGGAGCTAATAAACGCCTGCGCGTTTAAAACTCCCGTTTCACATATATATGTTATGCATTTGATACACACATATAAAAGGGCGCAAGATGAATGGGTGTGCATGTTGTGATAAGTATGAACGTGGAATGTATTTGCACACATATTTTGTTCACGTGTGTGCATTTTGTACACATTAAAATAACGTTGCATGGAACGATGTGCACTTTGTCGTGTAACAACATTGCTCTCTTCACATGTACCAACAAAATTACTCACACACACATATATATAGTATAACGCATTTTTTACACATTTTTTTTTGTTTTTTGTTTTTCGCTATGAGTTGGCTAGCTAACTAACCATAAGGTCTATATGATCTGGCTGATGGTGCGGAGTAGGATGGGTTGGGTGGGTTGGATGGCGTTGATGGTGATATTGGTGTTGTTGGTGCTGGCACTATAGTTGGTGTGGATGGCGTCGATGGTATAGGTCCGGTGGATGGTGCTGCTGGTGCTGCTGGTGTTGCTGGTGTTGCTGGTGCTGCTGGCGTTGCTGGTGCTGGTGTTATAGATGGTGGTGTTGGTGTGGATGGCGTCGATGGTGTGGATGGTGACGATGACAGTGTTGGGGCTGCTGGTACTTTGGAGAGATCTTCTTGTGATCTGCTTAGGTTTCTAGTCTCCGTTCTTGTTTGTGAAACGTTTGTGATGACTGGTCCGTTGGATTTCTTGCTGTTCTTTTGTTGGTAGTAGTTGTATCCTCCTAAGGCAGTACCAATGAGTAAAGCTAAGCTACTTGCGATGGTGGAAATAATCATTATCTGTTGGTTCCTTTTTTTCTTTAGCATATCTTTGTCAAGCTTCTTTAATGACTTGGAGTCAGATCCAGCGCTCTTTGCTTGTACCAAGCCATTGTTGTTCAATCCTGGAACAAAAACCTTAATGGTTATGAGCAAGGCAACAAAGTAAAATACTTGAGTTAACTTCATTTTCGCAAGTGTGAAATGGATATTTAAAAAAGTGTAAATGGGAAAAAAAAAAAAAAAAGTATGTGAGGAAAGCAGTGAAGCTTTTTTGTAAATATAATAAAAAAAAAAA